GGGCCGGGGACCGGGGGTGGGGAGGAGCGGCGAGCGGTGGGTGGCCCGGGGCGGTGTGGATCTCCTCCAGGAGGCCTGCTCCGCTACCGAGCTTGCTCGGCTCCATTGCCAGCACCTCCCTATCGCCTGGAAAAGAGAAGGCGACCGTGAACCAGAACCGAGAAGCTTCTTAGTACAGAAATCTCCAGCCTCCCCCCATGCTCCTGGCTTTCACCAGGTCTTAGCAGACTGGTTTTGTTTGTGGGGGACAATTGAAAAAAACTGATGGTTAAGACTAAGAATCCTGTGCGAATTAATGCCTAACACCCTCTTCTTTGTTCTTTCTTTGCAGTAGCCTCCTTTGATTGTCAGTCACAACCTGGGAGATAGTAACCCAGAAGAATACACCTGCTTGCAGGGACAGAGGTAAACTACATTTACCTACATTTAAAAAAAAAAAAAAGAAAAACTCACATTTTCTTTAGGCCCAGAACCTTTTAAAAATGTGTAAGATGTACCCTCATGGGTGACTTTTGTCTTTAAATATTTTATCAAACCTAAAAAAAAAAAAAAAAGATTCCAGATTTGGAAATTCTTTATGTGGCAATTGCCTGAAATGTGTTATAATCCAGAAGTTTATATTGCAGTGGAAAAGGGAGGCTTCAGCAGCATTTTGCTTTTTTATAAGTTTTTTTTCCTTCTATGCCATGCTGCTAGAGCTTGTACAACAGAGCTTGGATTTTCTGACTATATAATAGATATTTTAAAAGCAGAATTTCATTTACATAGGCACTCACTCCCTTTGGTAGAATTTGATGTAGCTGTTGATGAACAGGTTATACTTATCTTGCACAATGAGAAGATACATTTCTTCAGGCTTTCCCATCTTTCCCTAAAAATACCATCTTTTTTTGCACCAGCTGATGTACTAAACCTCCCTGCTAAGTCTTTCCATAACGTACCAGATTATTCTCTTCATTTTCTACATTTATGATAGGTTGGTTACCTTGCTTTACTTCTGCTACAGCTTTTGTTCAGATATGCCCATTTTCATGATATTGCTTTGTAGCTGTTATCCTATGTAATACTTTCTATGCTCTCCCTTGAAATTACAGTTCAAGAGTCCACCTCTATTTTAGGAACATTCTTGGGTAATACACTCATGCTTGAACATAATGCTTTAAATGTATTTACAGTGTTTGTAAACATATGTAATTAAACTTCTATATTTATATAGTTTAGCAGTTTACAAGATTGTCACTTAATCTTTCCAAGAACATTATGGAGGTACTATAAAAATCCTTACTCTGTGAAGGGTAAAACAGGTAGTTAAACCAGAGGTGGGGAAGCTTTTTTCTGCCAAGGGACATTAGGATATTTATAACATCATTCGTGGGCCATACAAAATTATCAATTTAAAATTAGCTTGTTATATTTGGTCAAACATTTAATTAACCCACCCCTAATGCCTTGGCAGGACCAGACCAAATGGTTTTTCTCGCCTTATATGGCTCTCGGGCCAGATGTTCCCCACCCCTGATAAACCTAGGTATTTAGAAGCAGGTTCAATGTTCTTTCCCCTTTGCTGGGGAACCTGTTACAACCTAAATTGTAAAAGTCATAGAATTTTATAAGGGATTTAGAGAGCCCATGATTAAACTTCTCCATTTTATTAATGAGGGTACTACATTCTTGACCTACTTCTTGGATAGTTCTAAGATGTAAGAATTGGAAAACTTAGATCCTGTGCCTAGCTTGCTGAGTATGATTGAGAAATCTGGGGATGGGGGGAAAGGAGGTATCCCTTTTTTCACTTTGCTTAGTTAGATGATCTCTAAGGTGTTTTTAATCTCAGTACTTCTATTTTATTCCTTCCCCATAACATTTATATTTCGTATATATATCTGTAATACACAGACACATACTAATAGTAACTGCCTTAAACTGTTTTATATTTTAAACTTGGATAGATATGGTAAAGTATACCTTGTTTTTTTATTAAGCTCTATAAGTATGGCTCTGTTGTAAGGTCAGGAACTGTATGGAGAGGTGGGGCACTCCCATCTCTTTGGTTAGAGTCCATAAAGTGGTGTACCCTTTCTCGAGGGAATCTTGGCAGTCTTTTCAAGAGCCTTAAAAATGTTCCTAATCTTTGAGCCACCCAACAATACACTTAAAGGAATTGTCTAAGGAAATAATCAGAGCTCTGTACCAAGACTTTTCTACAAGATGTGCATTTAAGTGTTGTAATACCAGAAAAATAACCAATAAGAGCATATTCATAGGTACACTAGCATGTTTTAGAAGGATATATAGTGATGGGAGAAATGCATATGATAAAATAAGAGAAAAATTTGTGTTATGCCACCAGTTTTGTTAATATGTGTATGTGTACAAACACACAAGATTGGAAGAAATATGCCAAAATAATACTAGAAGAAATGTACCAAAATAATAATAGCGGTTATTTCTTGCTAATTTAATTATGAATGATTGTCTCCTGTATTTTAAGAAAGACATAAAAGCTAATTGCATGGTGGTACATCTACACAATGGAATACTATGCTGCTGTAAAAAAGGCAGAATTCTTACCATTTGCAATAGCATGGATGGAACTGGAGAGCATTATGCTAAGTGAAATAAGCCAGTCAATGAAAGAAAAATACCACATGATCTCACTCATTTATGGATAATAAAGACCATTATAAACTGATGAACAAAAATAGATACAGAGGCAGAGCAGCATCGAACAGACTGTCAAACTACAGCAGGAAGGCCAGGGAGGGTTGAGGGGGGGGTGGGTAAGAGATTAACTGAAGGGCTTGTATGCATGCATATAAGCATAGCCAATGGACAATATGTACTACTCTTTGCAATATTTTAAGCAATAAAACAAAATTAAAAATAAAAATAAATGAAAAAAAAAGCTAATTGCATGGATAGACTCTCCAAACTTCAGTATGGTGTCAACTTTCTATGTCTTTTTTATAAGGCATTAATCATACCTTTAGAGCAGGGCTGTGGAATGGCCTGCCCATGGGCCACATGGCCCATGAAATCATTTGGTCTGGCCCTGCCAAGGTATTATGAGTAAGTTAATTAAATGTTTGACCAAATATAACAGGCTAATTTTTAAGTTGACAATTCTGTATGGCCTGTGAATGATGTTATAAATATCCAAATGACCCTTGGCAGAAAAAGGTCCCAACCCTGTTTTAGAGTAACAGTATCTTTGTAAATGTGCTATATTTCTGGATTAGGGCAAGAATTGACTTTTGATTTTTATTTAATCTTTACAAATATCATTAGAACGTTGAACTATCCATTTTTGTTATTCATAAAAGACACTGCCATTGTCATTACTTTGGGCTGGTACTAGATAACTAGAATAGCACTAGAATAGATTGCTATACCCACCTCTTACTACAGTTAAACAAATACAAGTGAACTTTGACATACAGAATAGTTATATTCAAGTTAAGCCTTCTATAAAGCAAATTCCTATAACATGAACTCTTTTTTCCTCCCATTTAAAGATATGTTTTTATTGATTTCAGAGAGAAGAAGGGAGAGGGAGAGAGAGATAGAAACATCAATGATGAGAAAGATTCATTGATTGACTGCTGCTTGCATGCCCCATACTTGGGATTGAGCCTGCAACCCGGGCAGGTGCCCTGACCGGAAATCAAACTATGACCTCCTGGTTCATGGGTCAGTGCTCAACCTCTGAGCCACACTGGCCAGGCAACATGAACTCTTTTAAATTAACTTCATTATAGATGTAAATACATACATTTTTAAGGAAAGGCTGAATTGAAAATTTTTGCTGATAATTTAAATTATTGTATTTTCTGTGGCATAAGCATGGAGTGCCAACATGCATAATATAGCCAACCTAAAAATTGCTTAAAGTTTAGCACCATTAGCTTTCAACTTGATATATGCTGTAGAATAAGATGTGAATATCATTCTACACTGAACAAATGGAACATTGTTCATACCAATTACATTTCCAATAGTCATCTCAGAAATAAGTTCTTATTAGTTGGTAGGTGGTACTTATCAGTTACGTACTAAATGCCTATTTTCACTTGGTGCAATGAATAATTTTGTCTAATAAATCTAGTTAGTTGTCTATTGAATGCTAGACTTTGGCAGCACTTTCTGAAAACTGGAATTAACCTCAAATACAGAGTTAGTTGATATAATCTTTTAATAGGTACCAACCTGTTGGGATAATAATTTAGGTCAATGATTGCCAAGTTTATGGCTGTAAAGAAGACAATTTGTTTTAGGGATAAGAATTTGCCACCTTCATATAAACCTGTTTTTCTGGGAGAAAAACCAGACATTTCTGGTTCTTATAACTTTTGCAGAAGTCAGTAGTTGGAACTTAAATTAACTTGATTTGAACTATTAACAGGTAAAGATAAATATCTGGGTATGGTTGGTACCAGAATAGGAGAATAATTTAGTCTGTATGTATATTTCCCTGTAATTCAGACACACAGTTTATTCAAATTGATTTCACCTCAGTGGGAGAGAGTGGGATTCAACACCATTTGGAGTCCATATACATTTTTCAGTAGTTGTACATAAATGGGATAATGATATCTACTGGGTATCTTAAAACCCTACTGATTTAATACTGCAGACTTACAGGATTATCTATCTATCTATATATAAAAGCCCAGCAACCATTATGGTGGAACGACCAGACAACCAGAATGACCGGTTGCTATGACATGCACTGACTACCAGGGGGCAGACGCTCAATGCAGGAGCTGCCCCCTGGTGGTCACTGCGCTCCCACAGCAGGAACGCTGCTCAACCAGAAGCCAGGCTCACGGCTGGCGAACGCAGTGGCAGTGGTGGGAGCCTCTCCCTCCTCCGGGACAGCGCTAAGGAGCTGTGAGCCAAGCTGTAAGAAGCAAGCAGGCAGGCAGTTAAGAGCAAGGGGTCCCGGATTGTGAGAGGGATGTCCCGGATTGCAAGAGGGTGCAAGCCAGGCTGAGGGACACCTCCCCTCCCCCATGCATAAATTTTGTGTATCGGGCCTCTAGTAGAATAATATCTTGGGTAATTATCAGGTGTCACAGGGAAAAGTAAAAAAGGAAAAGAAAGATGAAAAGGGTGGGGAATAAGAAAAGAATAAGAGGAAACCAGAGATTTTACTCATTGAAACAAGCATGAAGAAGATGAGTTAAAAGAAGAATAAACAAAGGAAGGAGCCAAGGTGAAATAGTGGTACATATAAGAGAATGAAGAAAAGAGAAAAAAAAAACCACCCAGTTTTTCTGAGTGGTCTGTACTAGTTAGGTAATAACCTGGACTTTTGTTTTTGAGAATATAACCTTAGTCCAAAAACTGAAAACTGAACTTTCTGAGTAGGTGGGCCTTCCAAGCTGGTGGATCTTCTGTACTAG